AGGATGATCTTGTGCTGCTACTACTGTTAATGTCATTGTTTGTGAAGCATTCCCAGTCTCTCACACACCCACGCAAATTTGAGCTATTTACCATGATGTAAATTCCCTTCTCCCTTGCATTGTTCCAACTCCTGTTCACTTCCTCACCTCCCACCCACCTCTCTCCCCCAATGAAATTTCAAGCTCCTCTCCTATGGTATTATTGTATGTCTGATTCCCCTCTTCCCCTTCCACCTAATTAAGCATCCACCCTTCATTGTTCTAGTCCTGATCCAACCCCATTCCCTCTTCAATTAGCATTGTTCCCATTGTGATGGGATTCTTCACTCCCACTCAGTGCACAAACTCATATTAATCCCTACCTGTTTCCAGGTTTTCCACATATCTATTTTTACCAGAATGTCATCCCTTTGAATATACATTCTAGAAAACTTTAATATCAGATACAGCCATCATTCCACAAAACTAAGGGCACTGTGTCTTAAGGAGCCTGCTCCAAGGTCACTTAGACAATAGAAAGATAATTATCTGATTTCAGAGAACTTTGGATCAAGCTCTACATAGCAATTTTTAAATTTTACATTTAGAACAGAAAAGGTTAGAACAAATAAACACTGCAATAATGGAAGGAGCATGTAACTAGCTAGAAGAGTCGATAGAGAAGTCTATATGGACAACATTGCTATAAAATACATTATTAGAATAATATGGTAATGTGGTATGAATAGAAAAATCTACCCACTCAGTTTCCTTAATTATGTATATGACCACTACCCACCATATCAACTGACAGCTTAATCCACACTAGTTATCCTTATGTGAGAGAGAAGCTATGGTTAGATAAATACTTTTAAAAATAAAGACAGGCAAAGGCTAAATTAAAATAGCACTGTGTTAACTACAAATTTTTTAAAAGATTTGTTGAATATATAAACAAAAACATTATTTTTTAATTATGCAACAGCTAAACATATACAGATAAAAAAAAATATTTTTGCAACTACCATCACTTTGGCACCTTTGTTTATGTGCTTCTTTTCATTCCCCCACCCTTTTTATGTATTTGTTTTGAAGAAAGGATTCTTGATATTTTTGATAAAGTACTTAGTCCAAAAGGATCCTCTTGTGGGACCTACTATTCCACAAAATGATAAAAAGAATGAAGTGACCTTAGAAGTCAATCTACTGCATCTCTTGGTTTACGTGACTCTGATAAGCACAGATTACATCAATAGATGTACAATATCCTGGTGTTTTTATGCAACTTTCTATTAGTATTTAGGACAATATTTGTTCAAATTCTTGTTCTTATATTTTACCAAGTTCATGTCTACATTATTCAAAATAGCTATAAAATCTGTTTTTCCTGCTCCATACAAGCTAATCTTTGTCATTCCCTGAGAATCAAATATATACAGATGATTAAAATGCAGTATGTATATATGCAAATAAATGAAAACTGTGTTGAAGTCCTACCATGAGCCAGGCGATGGAACCAGTAATATGTAAAGTCTACTCCCAGTAGTGTCAAATACCATGTCCATGGTGAGTCCCATGGCAGTTCATAGAGTCTGTAGTTTTCCCATATGTAGACATAACCAGTTAACTCAAAACCTCTGCACACAGCCCTGAAATATAAAAAAGAAGCCATTTTCTTAAGATCTTTATTAACTAGAATAATGCTTGTTTTAAAGGCATCTCTAGTACTTTTCATACTTCAGACTTTTTTTCTGACATATAATACCACTGTATCCAATCCAGTTCTTATTGAGGGTATATTCCCACTGATTTCAGCAGCCATCCTTTCTTAAGCACTAAAAGTAAGGATTTGATAATTAACTCACACATCTTTAAAACTTTTCCTTTCCAACTTTACATGGAGACTTATTTTTGCTTTCTATTATGTTCTGAACATCTCCAGTCCTTTGGCATCAAATTGTCTAAAGACTTCTAGACAGTTTCTTTGACAAAGTTTAACATATACTGATATAATTGGATATCCATGTTTTCACATAAAAGGATGGGAGCTTTTCCTTACTAATCCACAAGTTAGAAATACATTTAGCATGATGCTAATTATTTTCATATAACTAATGGTATAGAATATTTTCATTGTAAATTTGTCATTGCCAGATGAAAGACTAAAGATGAATAAGAAAAATGTGTGTGGCAAGAAAGAAGGGAGTGGCAAGAGAGGAATATGCAGCTAGAAATGAAAAAAAATATGTACTGCAGGAGAGGGATAGAGAGAAAGGAGGAGGAGCACACACCATTGAAAGTAAGGGAAAAGGAAATCTCTCACAGTTCTTTTGTGAATGGACCAATATTTCTGCACTAAACAATGCTCCATACTAAGAACAAAAGAGTTGGTATAGGAGAAAAAAATTTGGGGCCAGAGGGATTCCACTAGTCACTGTAAGACATAAAAAGCAGCCACCTAGCAAGACAAGGACTATATGGTTGAGATCAAGGGTTGGCAATATTTTTGAATGGAGAGCCAAAAGCACCCTAACCCTAACCCACAACTCAAGTTGGCATGCCAAGGGCAGATGGCAGGGGAACCATCTGGGGTCCGATCCTTGTTGCTGCACGCACACTTCTGGGTGGACGGTGGAGAAGTGGCAGGGGTTGCACTGCTTCAACCCCATCTCCACCCTGTACCCCAGAAGGCTGCACACAGCTGCACCACATGCCTCTAGAAGGGTGGCAGGGTACAGGCCTAGGGCAGCACAACCCCAGCCCCTGCCCTGCCACATGCCCAGAAGTACACATGTAGCCACTGCCACCATGGAACCCAGTCAAGGGCTCCGGAGCCTGGTGAAGCTGTTTGCAGCCTCCCAGCTGCCTACCACAGCTGGCCCAGGTGCTGGAAAGCTGAAGCAGGCAGCCAGAAGGTTGCAACCAGCAGCACCAGGCTCCAGAGCACAGGCACTGCCATGGCAGCAGCAGCTACACACGTGCCTCCAGGTGGAAAAGGATAGAAGAAGAGATTATGCTGCCCCAGGCCCCTCCCCCACTGTCCACCCATAGGCATGCATGCAGCCGCCTCTTCCACAGAGCCCAGTCAGGGCTCTGGAGCCTGATACAGCTATTTTCAACCTCCCAGCTGCAGCCAGCCCAGGCTCTCAGAGCTGCTGCCAGCCATAGAGCCCGGACTACTTGCATCAAGGCTTGCAGCCTCCCAGTAACCTGCTGTGAGCAGTCCAGGCTCTGTGACCAGCAGTAGCTGACCAGAGCCCAGGCTGTCTGTGGCATGCTGAGCAAAATGGCCTTGTGTGCTATGTTCTGGCACACGTGCTGGGGGTTGCTGACCCTTGGTTTAGATGAAACTGCTTCTATGCAGCTTTGCTGCTGTTGTTGCCATTTGTGTTTCAGCAATCAGAACTAGTGAACAACTCGCTCCTTTTTTGCCAAATCGTAGTAATTTGTATAACTTTATAAACAGGGACCAACCAAAATCACAATTTTGCAGAAATTGTGAAATCCAACAAAGGTTGTGAAATCTGTGGGAAAAAAAATCTTACTGAAAAAAAAAATTTTGGTTCCCTAGAGAGCTAGCAGTCATCACAGCACTGCAGCATGGCCACACAGTCCACTGCAAGGGATCAGGGAGAGGGGCTGCCAGCATAAAGGGGATCCCAGGATTGCTGTCGCCCCTGCCCCTCGCCAGGCTGAGATGGCTGGGGGGC